ATCCACCCACCCCCAGCCTCACAGCTGTTCGCCTCCTACTTCCCTGACGAGAACGTTCTCAAGCTCCCACTCCCAAGTGTGCTTACCCTCCAGCAACTCCCTACTCCCCGTTTGCACAGATGTGCTATCCACGCTCCTATCTAAAGCTGCTACCTCCATCTGTGCACTAGAGTGGGTCACCTCTTCCTGCTCAAGGACATGGCACCATCATCAACTTTTTTCAGTCTCTACTAGACTATTCCCATTGGTATACAAATATCTGTTACTGATGCAATCTTAAAACAGAAAACAGAAAAGAGCCTCTTGATCCTGCTTCCTCATTCTTCTGCCCTTTTGCACACCTTCGCAGCAAAACTCAAGTGCTGTCTATACCTCCCTTCCTCTCTTGAATCTGCTCCATTCAAGCTTTGGCACTCCCCTCCCCCGACCCCTGCCACACACACCTTGACCTCTTGCCAAGGTCCCCAGTGGCCTCCAAGGTGTTACATAAGTGGTCATTCTCAGCCCTCATCTTACTTTACCTCTCAGCATGTGGACACAGCTGCCTGCTCCCTTCTCCTTGATTCCCTTTCTTCACCTGGCTTCCCGGATACCCCCTCTCTTGGATTTCCTCACATCTCACTGCTCCCCGCTGCTTTCTCCTTGGCTATCTCCTTCTTGTCCCCACGCTTTAAAGCTCCGTCCTTGTACCTCTTCTCTATCTGCACTCAGCCCCTGGGTGGTCACAAGCAGTCTCATACCATCTAGATGCTGAAGACTCCCAAATTTACACCTCCAGCCGAGACCCTCTCCTCAATTCCAAATTCATCTACCCCCAAAACCTCGGTGACACCTCCACTTAGATATACAATAGACATCTCAAACTCAGGCCTAAGACTGAACACCTAATCTCCACCTACCCCCCCAAATTTACTCCACCCTTGGCCTCGCCACCCCAGCTCATGGTGACTCTGGAGTTAATTTTTTTTTAAATGTATATTGAAACTTATGTCTTCATTGGGCACTTACTCAGTGCCAAGCTCTGAGATACAATAATAATGGCACAAAGCTAAGACTTGAAAACTGGGTAGGAATTACCTAAACAAAGGCAAAACGAATGGTCTGGGTGGGGAACATGTATACACAAAGGTCCTGGGGTGGGAAGGCACTTGGAGAGCTGAAGGAATTAAAAACAGCTGGTGGGGCTTCCCTGGTGGCGCAGTGGTTGGGAGTCCGCCTGCCGATGCAGGGGACACATGTTTGTGTCCCGGTCCGGGAGGATCCCACATGCCGCAGAGCGGCTGGGCCCGTGAGCCATGGCCGCTGAGCCTGCGCGTCCGGAGCCTGTGCTCCGCAACGGGAGAGGCCCCAACAGTGAGAGGCCCGAGTACTGCAAAAACAAACAAACAAACCAATAAACAAACAAAAAAAAACAGCTGAGACGTTGTATGTGAGGGAGGAGGGATGGGAGATCAGGCTGGAGGAATTGCAGGAACCACTTTCTGCGGGCTGTTACTTCGCAGTTGCCTTGTCTGTTTTTCCCATCCCACCCAAACCTATGCGCTATCAGTACTGTGAGCACAGGAAACATATCTACCACCACCCCTCATAGGTGATTCATTCATTCAGTAAATACTTACTGATCACCTAGTAGGTATCTGGCACTGTTCTAGATACTTGGGATACATCAATGACCAGAATAGATAAAGATCCCTACCAACTTGGAGTTTACATTCTGGCAGGAAAGGCAGGCTTAGTACCTAAGTAAATGTCCTATTATGTTAGAAGATGACCAGTACTATGAAAGAAGAAGAAGTCAAGCAAGGTAAAGGGTATAGGGGTCTGAGGAAAGGGGTGGGGCAGGTGCAGAATTAAATAGAGAGGGCAGGGTAGCCTTGTTGAGGAGAGATTTGAGCAGAGGCGTGAAGGAGGAAAGGGAGCAAGCCTTTCCATTATTAGCGATAATCTAAGGGAAGATTATTACTGGAAGAGGCAACAGCATGTGCAAAGGCCCAAAGGTGGAAACACCACTGACATATTCTAGGAAGAGCAAGGAGGCTGGTATGACTGGAGTAGAGTTAGTGAGGGGAGACGGGTGGGTGACACGGGGATGTAATGATGAGAGAAAACGGGTGGTGGGGGCAGATTATATAGGCCTTTAGGTCATTGTAAGGATTTTGGCTTTTGCTTTGACTGAAGCCATTTGGAGGGTTTTGAGCAGAGGACTGACAGAATCTGACTCATGTTTTAATAGGATCAGTATGGATGCTCTGTGGAGGATAGTCTCTCAATGGTGGTGGCATGAGGGACTAAAGTAGAAGCAGGGGTCACAGTTAAGAGGTGAAAGATAACTGGTACCTGAGACCAAGGTGGCATTAGTTGGGAGAGAAGGAAGTGCTCAAAATTTGGTTATATTCTGAAAGTAGATCCAACAGGATTTCCTGGTAGATTAAACATGGGACATGAGAGAAAGGGCTGTCAAAGAAGACTCCTCTAATCCAAAGCAGGAACTTACTCCACACTGCTCCAGACTCAGCTAACAAACCTCCTTTACTGGGGAACTCAGTGTTCGAGAACAAAAAAGGTTTTTCTTTCAAAGAATATAAACAGACAATTCACAAGAGAGACGCAAATGCGCAAAACAATCCATAAAGAGGTGTCCGACCTTATTAATTATGGAATAAATACAATACAGCAAGGAGACAGATTTTGTTTCTCAGTTTAGCAGAAGTGAAAATTGATATCAACTTTCTGGAGGGCAGTTTAGCAACAAATATCAAAACTTAAAATATATGTTCCTTTTGACTGCTGGTAGTTTACCCAAGGAAGGAATATCACAAGTGTGTTGCTGACACTTTTGTTTACATTTGAAAATTCTGGAAATAACTTAAATGTCCTACAATAGAGAACTGACTAAATAAACAATGGTACAGCTATAGAGAGGAATATCATATAGTAATAAAAAGTAATGCAATACAGGTATTCCTGGTTGCTTGCAAAGAAGAGGATTGAGTTGCTGGGGACAGAAATGACAGGAGTAGGGTTATTGGGTTTTTTTTTGTTTTCTTGGAGTAGGGTTTTTTAAAACATACTTTTTGATAACTGCAATTTTTAATTTGTGTGAATACATGTAATATTCAAAATAATAAATGAAATTTGAAATATCTGTAAAAAAAGTATTGTAAGTCTCTATTAGTTGTTACGGGAGGATGTCCACAATGTTGAGTGAGAAAAAGAGTTACCAAATGGCATATAGAATACAATTTCATTTACATGAGATTGTATATTATATACTAAAAATATATGTATAGATATAAGTATAGAAAGTTATTTCTGGAATGATGCTCCAATTTAATAATAGTGGTATCTCTAGAAGAAAAAATTTAGAGATGATTTTTACTTTTTTGCTATATACTTTTCTGTATTGTGTGGATTGTTTATAATGAGCATGGATTTTTTTTTTTTATACTATCAGGGGAAAATATTGTAAGGTTATTTTCTTTTAAAAAGGAAGAGCAAAAAAAAAAAAAAAAGGAAGTGCCTCGGACTTCCCTGGTGGTGCAGTGGTTAAGAATCTGCCTGCCAATGCAGGGGACACGGGTTTGAGCCCTGGTCAGGGAAGATCCCACATGCTGTGGAGCAACTAGGCCCGTGTGCCACAACTACTGAGCCCACAGGCCACAACTACTGAAGCCCGTGAGCCTAGAGCCCGTGCTCCACAATGAGAGAAGCCACCGCAATGAGAAGCCCGCGTACTGCAACGAAGACCCAACACAGCCAAGAATAAATAAAATAAATAAATTTATTTTAAAAAAAAAAGAAAACTAGAAACAGAACTACCATATGATCCAGCAATCCCACTCCTGGGCATATATATCTGGAGAAGACCATAATTTGAAAAGATACCTGAACCCCTATGTTCATAGCAGCACTATTTACAATAACCAAGACATGGAAGCCACCTTCGACAGAGGAATGGATAAAGAAGAAGTGGTACGTGCATACAGTGGAGTGTTACTCAACCATAAAAAAAGAACGAAATAATTCCATTTGCATCAACGTGGATGACCTAGAGATTGTCATACTAAGTGAAGTAAGTCATACAGAGAAAGACAAATATCATATGCTATCACTCATGTGGAAACTATTTTTTTAAAAAATGATACAAATGAACTTATTTACAAAACAGAAACAGACTTACAGACATCGAAAACAAACTTATCGTTACCAAAGGGGAAACGTGGTGGAGTAGGGATAAATCAGGAGTTTGGGATTAACATACACACACTACTATATATAAGATGGATAAGCAACACAGGTCTACTGTATAGCACAGGGAGCTCAGTATTCTGTGATAACCTATATGAGAAAAGAATCTGAAAAAGAATGAGTATATGTATATGTATAACTGAATGACTTTACTGTACACCTGAAACTAACACAACATTGTAAATCAACTATACTCCAATAAAACTTTAAAAAATAAAATAAAATCGCTTTCTTTAAAAGGGAAGTCAAAACAGTATCTATTTGATAATGTGGTGAGGATTAAATGAGGCAATGCATATGAATCGCTTATCCCAGGCTGGTATACAATGCTAAGTATTGAATAATTTATTCTTATTTTGCCAAGTACACAGAAGTTGAAAGTCTACGATCACCGTGGTTTTGTTGTTGTTGTTCACCTCCACACCACGAGGGGCGCTGCCGCCCCCAGGCTGACCAGGCTCAGGGTCAGGGAAGTCTGTCTAGCCGCAGTCGCCGCCATCTTAGGATACAGGCCTTCCACCGTGTGTGGCTGCTTCGTGCAGTCTTAGAAGCAGACCCGCTCGCCAAGACACCCAGCCTCTTACCTCCTTAGGCGCTCCTTTAAGTAAGCTGTATTCTCGAGGGCGTTTTAATCTCCTTGGAAACGCTAAAATCGGCGTCTTCCGGGAGCCGGCCTCGCCCCGTGACCGCAGACGTACACTTCCGGGGACACGTGCGTGACCCGTCGCCCCGCCCTCTCCCTCTCTTTCTTTCTGGTGGCTGATTCTGAATAAGACGAGTAGGTAGGAACCCTGGGCGAGGAAAATCGGGTGGCATCCTCCGGCACGGGGACCCGCCGGGGCCGGGGGCGCGGGGCTGGGGTCTTTCCGTGGAAGGCAAACCAAGTGCCGGGCGAGAGGAGCTCGGCGGGCCGACCCAGATTCTGGTTCGCGTCCCGTCTCGGGAGGCAGCGGTCTTGCTTCAGGGAAAAGCCGGTAAAGCAGGGGTGAGTTCGGGTCTAGCCTCGAAGGCATAGGCCCCTCGCCACGACCACACCTGCGCTGAAAAGGCAGCACAGCATGGTTGATTGGGAAAGGAGCGGGAAATTTAGTCTGTTGTGACCTCCCACCATTACCCCACCAGCTTTTTCGTAGGCGGTCGCAGGCCGGTCCCCTGATTTCTAGTTTGTTTTCGATCTGGAAAGTAGGAATAGTCGTACGAATTCCGTGGGGATGTAGTGAGGATTCCAGAGGGGAATGCAGAAAAAGGCCCTTCGTTAGGTGTTTCCTAAATCTGAGTGACTGCTAAGTCGGGCACGTTTTAATTTCTGGGTGCTCAGGGCAGGTTTCTCAAAGCCAGAAATTAGGGGAAGGCTTAATTTCTCCTAACATCAGTGTTTGTTGAGCATCTACCGTGCGCCTATTGCCGCTGAAGGCCGAGACGAGGGATGTTCAAGTCTTGCCACGGTGGGCTGGGAGGTGCAGGGCAGGGTTAGCCTCCAGCAAGCGACACCTGGAAATCCTGAGCGCTGGCGTGTTCGCGGCGTGGGGCGGGAGAGCAGGTGCCCGCGTGTCCCGCGCACCTTTCTCGGGGGAGCAGTTATTCCCAGAGAAGTAAACCTTGGGGTTTTCTGTTGTTAACACTGGGATTCTTTTTTCTTTCCTTAAGAAATGGCACCTCGCAAGGGGAAAGAAAAGAAGGAAGAACAGGTCATCAGCCTTGGTCCTCAGGTGGCCGAAGGAGAAAATGTATTTGGTGTGTGCCACATTTTTGCATCCTTCAATGACACTTTCGTCCATGTCACCGATCTTTCTGGCAAGTGAGTACCTAGGTGGAGAGGCCCAGGACCCAATTAACAAGGATTGGGGTTAGAAACGACCCTGGAACTGGGTGGCAGTTTAAGGGGATCTCTTGAAATAAATGTTGTAAAATGTTCAAATAAGGATATGTTCTTGGTGGATGAGTCCACAGATGGTGTGATCTCCTAGGTACTGGAGTTCTGAGAGAGAAGGAGACATTTTGTGCCCTTATGGGCTTACAGCATGGGGACCTCGTATGTAACATGAGGAGGAATTACTCATGGAGTAATAGGAGGATTAAATGTAAAAGTACATGTAAATCGTCGATACAGAGCTTAGTTATCTAGGATCTGAACCCCATCAAGGCAGAGCCCATGGCAGTCTTGTCAGATCAGGATGCATGTTCAATTGACCTTCATTCTCTGCCCTACCTGAGTAGTAGTGCTTTTTATTCATTAGGATGTGGTATGCACTCTGAATCCTTGTTGGGTAGGAAAGAAAGGACCCTGTGCATTTGTCCCCAGGGAAACCATCTGCCGTGTAACTGGTGGGATGAAGGTGAAGGCTGACCGAGATGAGTCATCTCCATATGCTGCCATGTTGGCTGCCCAGGATGTAGCCCAGAGGTGCAAGGAGCTGGGCATCACTGCCCTCCACATCAAACTCCGGGCCACAGGAGGAAATAGGTAAGGCTGGGACTGGGCAGTGAGGTCACTGGGCTTGGGCAAGACATCCTAGGTGTGTACATAATTAATACAGGCATACCTCAAAGATGCTGTGGGTTTGGTTCCAGAGCACTGTGTTAAAGCAAATATATCAGTAAAGCAAGTCATGTGAATTTTTTGTTATCCCAGCATGTATAAAAGTTACATTTACACTGTATGTAGCCTACTGAGTGTGCAGTAGCATCATGTCTTTAAAAAAAAAAAACCAGTGTACATAACTGTAAGTTAAAAATAATTTGCAGCTAAAAAAAATTTCTAACATCTGACAATGAAGGGTTGCCATAAGCCTTCAATTTGTTTTTTTAAAAAAGGCATTATCTGTGAAGTGCAGTAAAATGAGATATGCCTGTAACTGGTTCCTGCACCCTCCCCTGCGCCAACTTACCGTGTTAATTGAGCACTCAGAGCATACGAGGTACTGTGTTCTAAGTACTAGAAGAGAGTGATGGGGGAAAATAGATATGGTCTCCATCCTCTTACGTGGCTCTTAGGCTGGTGGAGAGTCAGGCTTTAAGCAGTATAGAGCAGGGGAGCATGTGGTTTCTTTTTGCAGCAAGTGCTGGGAAGCAAAAATGTGTCAAGGATGGGTTGGTAATAAAGTTTAAACTAAGACCTAATGTTGTGGTTAGAAGTCAGTCCAGTGAAGGAAGGACAGGGGAGAGTATTCCAGCCAGGAACAACTGGAAGGAAAAGGTCTTGGGGTGGAAATGAGCTTGGCACATCTGTGGACAAGAGTGGCATGAGGTGTGATAAGATAGGAGCGGGTGAGGTCCTGCTGGGTCTTGAAGAACCTGGTTAAGATTTGGACTTGGGCTGGGGGCGGGGGGGCATGAAAACTTGTTAACAATAATGACCTGTTGAGGTTGGGTTGTATGATATTTATTTTATTGTTGTTATTTGTCTTTTTTTTTTTGCGGTACGCGGGCCTCTCACGGTTGGGGCCTCTCCCGTTGCGGAGCACAGGCTCAGCGGCCATGGCTTACGGGCCCAGCCGCTCCGCGGCACGTGGGATCCTCCCGGACCGGGGCACAAACCCGTGTCCCCTGCATCGGCAGGCGGACTCTCAACCACTGCGCCACCCGGGAAGCCCTGTTATTTGTCTTTTAAGATGACTGCTGTGTTGGGAACAGACCAGATAGGAAGTTGTTAAAGTGGTCCAGTGGACCGATGATAGTGTCGTGGTCTTGGGAGGATGGAAAAGGACAGATCACCAGAAACACTTAGAATCACAGCATGTGACCAAAAGGGGCACTTCCTTAAACAAGGTGCAGGCAGAGCAGGATGCAAACTGTGACCCATGGTGCTGGGGGAAGTGTGTGACAAAAAGTAAGTGGCATACTAAGCCTGAAGTATTTACCGTCTGGCCCTTTGCAGAAAGAAAGTTTGTAGAGCCCTGAACTAGAGGGTCGTGGGATCTTCTAATGACTTGGCCAAAGGCTTTTCTTAATTTAGATATTTATATCCTAGGACCAAGACTCCTGGACCAGGGGCCCAGTCAGCCCTTAGAGCCCTTGCCCGCTCAGGAATGAAGATTGGGCGGATTGGTGAGTGTCCCTCTTTGGCTTATGCTTGGATTTGCTTTGAAGCACTGACCCCGGAAAGCATGTGGTCTGCTCAGTGGATACAGGGCCTAGTCTGGTAACTTTTGGCAGTTAGGTTTGTTAATAGGGAGTACAAGAGGCACCATGTGACATAAACTCTCTCCCTGAACACCCTTGTTGCCTTGATGTGAATGTCCTGCATTGGGACAGCGCCGTCTCATTTCTGAACTTCCGTGCCTGATGGTGACTGGTGGAACTGACAGGAGATGAATTGTCCTTTCCCGTGTTCTCATGAGGGTTGCTATTGGTATTTTGGGGGGGTGTCTCCTGCGTGATCATTGACTACTCAGTATCAGTAGGGCAGGCCAGGCATTGTGACAAGAGTATGGAGGGGGCAGTAGCTCCCATGGTTGAGAATCACAGCAGTTCTCTACACTTGTGTAGTATTTATACCCTCATGTCTGATCTGGCCACTTACAGCTCTTAGGAAGGAGATGTTAGCCCTTCCCTATTGTTTCTGTGGCAACGTGTACTGATCCCTCAGTCTAATGGTCTAGCCCTCTCAAGATTTTTTCAGAACATTTTCAACCTCTTAGCTATTAGAAAGGAGATATTCTTCAGTTTATGAGGATGTTCCCACTAGAGTCAGTGCGCTAGGTGTCAGAAACCTGGATTTATCACCTGCCTCTGACATCCTGTGCAAGTGACCCACTCCGAGCCTCAGTTTCCCCTTCTGGTAAGTTGAGTTCAAACCACATCAGAAATGTTGAGGAAGCTACAGATGGGACAGCTCCACATCTATCTGTTAAATACTGAGGACTTAACTTGTGAAGCAGCAGGATCCACTGCTGATCCGTTAGACCAATTGGCCTAGGGAGGCCTGGACCCCTTCCCATCAAGCTCCAGGCAATGATGTTTTCTCTTCCTCCCCACAGAGGATGTCACCCCCATCCCCTCCGACAGCACCCGCAGGAAGGGGGGTCGCCGTGGTCGCCGTCTGTGAACAGGACTCCTCAAATTATTGTTTTCTGTTAATAAATTGCCTTGATGTAAGTTCTTTTCGACTCTAGTCTTTTCTCTGTGTAGGGGCTACCCTTGGGGATATTTTGATTCCTTCCTCCTGTATTTAACCAGGGTATGGGACTGTCTTGAGGTCATGGGTGCGTTGATAAACCAACAGCCATTTAATAGATACATTGCTTCAGAGAATGTATCTAGCCTGTCAAAGAGGAGCACAAGAGGTACTGATTCAGCCCCTACCATGGGACAGCGTGAGCCTGTGTTCTGTGAACTGGTTTCCTGGGAGGAGGAGCCTAAGGAAAGGTGAGATAATGGTGGCTGCGGTTGGGTCTTTTCTACACTGCTTGTTGCGGTGTTAAGTTACCTCAGTCATCTAAAGCCGACCAAGGCCTTGAAGACCTTGTTTTGAAAGTGAAGGTGTTGATTCCAAAAGTGGACCCGTTCTTAAAGAGCGGGAGTGGAGTGGAAACTGTTGAGCTAAGTGTATGTAGCCTGAGCCTGAGAGCCTTCCAGACAGCCATATATAAACACGTGTGGGTGTGTACTCGCCCCCCACACCTTCTGTGCAAAAAAGGGATCGCACTCCTGCATCTTGCTTTTTCTCACTTGGCAGATCTTGGAGGTTGTTCCACATCAGTACATAAAGTACATAAAGATTCGGTCACCCACAAATACACACCAAGCCCTATTTTCGTCGGTGATGAAAAAGAAAGTTTCTGCTTTCCGGAAGCATGCATCCAGCTCCAAGGACCCAGTGGCACCAGATGGTACTGAGTGTTCTGCAGAGGCTTAGCATAGCGCTGTGTGATAGTGACTGCTACCCCGAGGCAAGACAATGGCATCATGTTTTCAGGGTTCATCACAGCATGTTTCAGAACTTCATTCCTTTTTATTGATGATTAACGTTCCATTACCTTGATACACAGATCTCTTCACAGTTCTCTTCCAACTTGGAAGAACCTTGGAGAGGTGGGTCTTGCCATGGCTCCTACCAACTTACCCTGTGTGATGGACAAGCCATCTTTTTTGAGTCTCTTTGTTTCTTCATCTTAAAAATGAGTGATTACAACCCAAAGTATAAAATGAGTCCATGCTGTTGCAGGTGATTTGAATAAATTAAGCCATAAATCTTAAAAAGGATTCTAAATAAAAGTAGATGCTCCCCCTTCCAGTAAGTGGAACTTACTGTGGGCTAGACTTAGTGACTCACGAACATGGAAGAGGGAAAATGTTAACTTTGTTCTGGAGAGACCTTAACCAAACTATTAAGGTTGCTTAACACTTCTGATACATCATGTTGATAGTACTCTGATTTGACAAGATGAGCACTTCACCTCTGAATTCTCTCTGAAAACCCATAGTCCAGTTAGAGGACATTCTACAGCGTTATCAACATTTAAATGGTCAAAAGTTATGAAAAACAAGGACTTAAGACCAGAGGAGGGACTTCCCTGGTGGCACAGTGGTTAAGAATCCACCTGCCAGTGCAGGGGACACGGGTTCGATCCCTGGTCCAGGAAGATCCCACATTCCAAGGAGCAGCTAAGCCTGTGCGCCACAACTACTGAGCCTGCGCTCTAGAGCCCGCGAGCCACAACTACTGAAGCCCGCGCACCTAGATCCCATGCTCCACAACAAGGGAAGCCACTGCAATGAGAAGCCCGTGCACCACAACGAAGAGTAGCCCCCGCTCGTCGCAATTAGACAGCCCGCACGCAGCAACAAAGACCCAATGCAGCCAAAAATAAGTAAATAAATTTATTTTTAAAAAAAAGACCAAAGGAGCTGAAGGAGATACGTAATGCATTGGATCCTGGACCAGAAGAGGCGTTAGTATAAAAGCTAATATCTAAACTGGAGTCCAATTAGTAGTAATGTACCTATGCTCATTAGTTTTGACAAATGTATTGTTATAATGTAAGATGTTAACATGAGGAAACCAAATGAGTGTTATACAGAAACACCATACCTTTGCAACTTTTTGGTAAATCTTAAAGGATTCCAAAATAAACATTAGGGGAAAAAATGAGGGTACTTTTCTACTGTCATTCTGGTTTCTAAGGCAGGACGTGGTGCACAGACCCTCAGGTATGCATTCCAGGATGAAAATCCCAGTTCCCCAGATTTGGACTCTAACCTCAGGCAAGTTATTTAACCCCTCAGCCCTTTAGTGAAAATTCCTGTGATAAGGGCAGCCTCATAGGGCATCACAAAAATCAGATTAAAGCGTTTAGCACAGTGCCTGGCGCTGAAGAAGCTGCCGCTATTCTCATGCCTGTTCAGTTCTGCCAAGCAGCATGAATGACAGCTGGCTGGAATCCTGGTGGGAAAATGCTGGCGCTTGCTGGAGCGTTCTTTTTATTTCCTGTGATGGGACTTTGCAACCTGTCCTGCTGTTTCCTGGTAACAAGGGATGCAGTCAGCTAGGTCTTTGAAAGCAGTTCATTTCTAGGTTTTGTTTGCAAGTTACAAGGAGAGCTAATTGGTGCAGCCCAGGTTGGAATGTAAGCAGCCTCCTGGCCACTGAGGTGGACAGGGCAGGACTCGAGATGTTGCCCCCCCTGAGACTGCAGACCATGGAAGCCCAGCTGCTGGCTGTAAGTGCAGCCTCAACCAGGGCCATGGAGATGGTCCCTACTTCTCGCTCCTTTCTCTTACCTGAGCTCCTGCGACAGTCTCTCCAAGTCTCCCTGTCTTCCCCCAGGTCCCTGCCTATCCCTAGGCCACACTGCAGCTGTGTGATCTAAAATTAATTGGATTCTGTCACTATCCTGCTGTTTTATCCCTGCCCCACTCTTCAGTCTGGAAGCCAGTCTCCACAATTCTCCAGTGTTTTATCTAACCCTGCCATACCCTTCACCCTCTCTGCCCAAGCCAAACCTAGTTCCTTTCAGTTTTCCAATTCTCCATGCCTTCAGTCTTTTGCTCATGCTTCCCCCTCCCAGCCTGGCTCCTTCAATATCTCCTCTCCCCACCTTGGCCTCACTACCTTCTGTTCACCTGTTGGAATCAGCTTTTCATCACTCGCAAAGTTATCTTCCTGGATGCCCCTCAAGATGCTTCTCCACTCAGTTCCCCCAACACCCTTACTCTCCTCGTGGTACCACTAGTCTCCCTCTGTTCTAATAGCCTATTTCCCCACTAATCTGTGAGCTCTGAGAGGCAGAGAGTATGTCTTGTTCAGTGTCTGCCAGCCCAGTCTGCAACAGTAGGGGCTCTATAAAGATTTGTTTGCTGAATCATTGAAAGAATGGGCTTCGCCTTCTGTAGTCAATTAGATAGTTGAAGACTTTTCTAGATCCTGGATACATTAAAACAAACATGCATTCTTGGGCTCTATTCTCACGGGAGTTAAAGAAATGAGAAAGAAAAGGACATTAAGATGAAATGCGTTAGGGAGCAGAGAGCTGTAGGCAAAGAAAGTTGGGGTAGCCCTCTGGGCACATCCTGGAGTCAGTGCCCAGAGATTAAGTTTAGGCTCTGCCCTCAGCCCCACCCATAGCCCCAAGGTGAGGGAACTGAACTTGACCTTCATATTAAGCCAGAAGTCCTCAGATTTCAGAGCTAATGTGGTCCCAGGTGGGAGTGTCTGGGCTCTTTGTAGAAAAGCAAGTCCTCTTTCGAGAAAACCATCTATATTTGAGGTCTTGCCAGTTGTTTCTTCTTCCGGTTCGCTTCATTGACCTGGGTGATGGTGTCATGACTCCCTTTTGCCCAGGAGAATACTATCAAGGCCATTCTCAGTCTCTTAATGAAGGATCTGGAAAACCTTTCCCCAAACGTGGTCTCAGGGTAGCATTGCTGACCTTAAGTGGGCCAAAGAGAAGATGTATAAGGGACTTTAAGTAAAGTTCTGTCTTGGGGAAGAGGGAGCAAGCAGTCTTGCTGCTTGTAGTTCTTAAGTGATAGAACTTGGCCAGTGGGTGGGTAGGAGTTGTAGAGAGATTTAAGCATCAGATAAAGAAGAGTTTTCTAAAAGAGAGCTGCTAAGAGGAAATAAAACTGCTTCATGAAGAGTGGATCTCCTAATCATTGGAGGCATACAAGTGTAAGCCAGACCCCCCAAAGGCTAGTTACATCAGAATCAATTAGTGTGGCAGAGACAGTTCCCTAAAGTGCTGCTTTTTTCATTAGGAATAGCAGTCTCAATTTTTAGGTGGATGTATGGTTGATCAGAATAGAGATTACAGTTCCTAACTATAGTCACCATGCTGTATATTACATGGACTTATTTTATAAATAAACATCTAAAAGGGAACATTCCCTTTCCTCTAGATAATTGCTTTCAGATCTTTGCTGGAACTTGTCACCTAATCAAACAGCCCTTCCTTGATCATCACAGATCAGTTAATGTTTCTGCCCCCTGCCCCACCTCTAGCCATCATTCTTAAGCTGTTTACCTGCCACATTCATAACACTTAACCCCAACTGATAGTCCGGAGTCTGTGCCTCTTGAGTCCAGTGGTTCTCAACCTTGAGCGTGCATCAGATTCAGTAGATCTGGGATGGAGGCCTGAGAATTTCTATTTCTAACAAGTCCCCAGGTAGTGCTGATGTCAGTGGTCTGGAGACCACACTTTGAGAACCACTAGACTTATCTGTTTAGGTCACTGCTGTATCCCAGCACCAGGAACAGTGCGTTAAGTTGTGTTCTCTAAATATTTGTTCACTCAAATTGCAGATATTATCTCATTCAGTAGCTTTAAGGCAAGTACTGTTATCCACATTTTACATATGGGGAAACTGAGGGTCAGAGTAAGTGAGTTGTCCAGGGGCACATAGCTAGAAAGGGTCAGAGTAGAGATTCAAACCTGCGTTTGTCTGTAACCGGGGAGCGTGCCCTCCTCAGTCACTGTGCTGTCATACCTTTGTCAGGCTGGGGCTCAGTACAGTCTGGTTGAGGAGCAGGAAGAGGAGGACCCTCCCTGTCCTTTCAGAGGATTGGGAAGTAGATGGCAGCAGAGTGCCCCTCCTGAAGGGAGCCCAGTGGCTGTTGAGTTTGCAGCCGTCATATATGGGTGGCCACCAGGTGGCAGC